TATTAAATTAATAATTTAATAACACTCTCTTTAATAATAGCAGGTGTGCGTCCCTCATCATACAGCTGCACACCAGAGCATGAGAGTGAAGTAGAGCTATATGGCTAGAAAGATACTTACTGTAAGCAAAGTGAGTGTATGTGTGTGTGTATGTGTGTGTGTGAGAGAGAGAAAGAGAGAGAGAGTTAAAGAGTGTGAGAGACTGAGAGAGAGAGGATCCAGACAAATTTAGATAAACAGCGACATACTGCAGCAGGGAGAGAAGGAACTAGAGGAGAATATTTTTGTGAGTGGAAGAAGCAGAAAGAGAAAGAAAGCAAGAATTAGAAAAGAAAGAGTGGTTGGTTTACTGATTGGCAGAACCTCAAGAAGGCAAAAGTGGTTTTAGGAAAACTTTAAAAGCGGCTGGGAAAAGGGAATGGAAGAGAAAAGAACCTGGTAAAACAAAATCAGTGGAAACAGCTCAGTGGTGAGAAAGTTAAATTTTTAGTGGAGCAAAGTGTTCTAATCTTTTCTCTCCTGAGGGCGTTTTTGGAAGCTTCTCTCATCAGTCTGGGCAGGACTCGGTTGTCCCTGTATTCCTCTCTGCCTCCCTCCTCTATTTTCCCTTAGTTCACTGCAGTAGAGCAGCGTAACTAGAGACACGCGATGACTACAGGTTGAGAAGTGAGTGAGAGAAAGGGAGACAGAGATCAAGGAGAGGAGAGACTGACGCACACCTCACACATTGGAGTTTGGAGTCACTGTGCAGCCCACAAAGGTGAGGTGAGGGGAGAATGTCTTAGCAGTTTGTGAGCTTTACCTGAGAATGAGGGTTGTGCATGTGCATGTATATCTATGGGTCTATATGTAAACATGTCTGTAGGTGAGAGTGTGACCATGGTTAGGGTTGAATTAGAGCATTGAGCAAGTGGCTGCATGCAGTGGATCTGTTTGAGCTGAGAGTTTTCTTTGAATACTCAATGAAGGCTGCTATTAATATTTTTGTGTGTAAACCATTCTCATGTCAGTGATCAGACCTTGAAGCATGTGTGACAGGTTTGCCTTTCCAAGATCACAGTTTGGTGTGTGTATAAATCAGCCTGTGAAGCGGAGCAAAAGACACATTGTGGAAGTCACTGCATGTGAGTGCATATGTATTTGTGCAAATGTGTTTGTTTCTCTTTGATTTAATTGTAATTTCGGATTCCTAAGAGATTCATGAACAACAGCCAATTGTTCAGCTGTGTCAGCAGTGGACACCTGGTGAAGGACAGACAGACCGTAGAGACTCATCTGGCCACAATATGGGCTGCCTGCACACTTTGCTGTCACATTTAAAATTGTTGGATTTCTTTTGTAAAAGATTTGTATTTGCAACAGACCTCAGATGTTATGACAGTGATGAGAAGCAGAAAACAGATGTAGTAAAACTGATCTAAGAGCGTCTCTGCAGAATCTGCAAGCAAAATAAATGTGAAAAAGTAGCTCCAGTGGTGGTACTGTCCTGCCCATACCTACATGCTAATACTGTTTACACTTTACATGTACAGCATATGCTCATACAAGACGTTAACACCTCAGAATTACTTTTCTTTTATTTGTTTCTCATTCACAGTTACATTGATTTATCTCTACATTCTGATTATCTTGCTTCGAGCCCACTGGTGACAGCTCAGAGCTTAGAGCTTCCAGGGTGTGGCTGAGGGACCTAAGGGTGGGGCTCAGGTAGAGCAGATAGAGAGGTCACTGTGGAATATTTGAGATTCCTCAGCAGAGCAGCTTCTGCAGTGAATACACCCAGCCCCCAACCTGAGTGCCCCCACCCAAACTCTGTTCCCTCACCTCCCAGCAGGCACTCTGCTTCCCCTCCCCTCACTCCCCACACACACTTTATCCTCTCTGCCCTGAGAGTGGAACCTGCTCAGTCATGCCAGTCTGCCTCCTTGTGCCAGCCTAACTACCACACACATTTAAAAGGTGGAAAATCATCCTCAGAGCTGCCAGGTGTGGCATTCCCTTGTCGAGTATTTTGCCAGGTGTGCCATCAGCATGTCTGAGTTAAGGAGACAACAATATTACAGTATGTGAAAGGGACTTGTGCAGAGGAATGTTTTCTGATCTTGAATTTCTGAGTTAGTGATGAACAACACAAATCAATCAAGCTGCCCATTCTGATATGTTTTTCTTGTGATGTGTGTGTGTATAACATACTTTCTGTAAGCGATCAAGATAATTATCTTAGATTACTATGTTTCACTCCCAAGAGAAATGGGAAGTGTAGGTGTGTGTGTGTGTGTGGGACAGATTGAGGAGCCATAAACCTTTTGCAATCACAAGGACATAAATAAAAAGTTCTGTGTGTACATGCATGAAACTATCCGTCTTTTAGACTGCAGAGGACGTCACAATACAGCTCTGATGTCTACTGTTTTTCTTTTCTTTTTTGCCAAGCTACTCTCAAGCATCCATAAAAAAAAAATATCATAAGCTTTTATACCCTGTGCAAGGCAAGCACCATTCAGACTGACTCAATAAGAATGACAATAACAGCACAATTATAACATCAATAAACAAAATTATGACTAATTGCCAGATTTGTCAATCAGTCAGCAATCATATTCATAGGCACATTATCAGGAGACTATTCAGGTACTTCCTTGAAACCTTTATAGGTGAACTGATTGATTTATGAGATTGAAAGTTGGGGTGAGGTCAGAAATCCAGGTGTACAGTGTTGTGAGTTGAAGGTGCCAGACACAGATTCCACTGAGAACAATAGAACGGACGAAGTATGTTTGACATAAATTGAATGTTCACTGGAAACATTGGCTGAGAGAAACAGAAAGCTAAAGGTGTCATTGATAGCCAAGGGAATAAAACCTCAGGCCATTAGCGAAAGGAGTGGGAAAGATGGAAAGAGAAGGGTGTGACAGAAGAGGGAGACAGCAGAGAAGTGAGAGAGAGTCCCTGTCCAGCTGTATGACAGAAGTGTTGGCCTGGTAAAGCTTTTCAATGGCCCAGTAAATGCTGCTGGAATGAAAACCATATAAGCGCCACAGACTTTTTACCTCACGTTACCTCCGTCCTGCTCCTGCCCCTCTATCCCATAATGCCTCCTCCCTGCTTTAGGGGCTATGTGGGTCTGGCAATGGTGTGGTTTTCATTAGTCAATTACAACCTCTGGATGCTTTTCTGAAACACTCTTCTTTCCTATTCCTGCTCCTTTTTTTCTTTCTGAGCTTTCCTTTCATTCCGCTTGGTACCACCTTCCTTTCATTATTTTGCTCTCTGAATTTCACTGAATATCTTATTTATCTCTTATCTCTTTATTGCCTTCTGTGTTCTAGCCGTGGTTATGACAACCTTTGTTTTTAATTTAAAATGCAAGTCAATTAAAAAAAATATTAGTATGGTACTTACTGGCTCTTGTATTTGCATGTAGAGATGCATGCACAGAGCAAGATACTGCATTCTCACATGTAGGCAAAGGCAACAAATGCCAGCCCTCGCTTGCTCGCCTGCATTTATCAATGCATGCAACAATAGGATAACTCAATATGCCTTCAGGGATTAAAATTGTCAAACACTGAATGAAAGCTCAGACAAAAATGCAGTGACCCTCAAAACATTTTGAAAGACACATTGAGGGTGTTCCTGTTGGATTTTCTCTGTCAAAGTGCAGCAGTCAGGCCATGTCCATGAGTTCACTCAAATAAGACAAAGTGGAAATATCTACCAGATGGCATGGAAATGAAAAATCATCAAATTCTAGGCTTGCAAGTACTTGCTTATTAGTTTCCCACTATTGTAATATCTGAAGCATGCCAGTTGCCATTATGCAGGTAGGCACTAGCTTGTTACAATGTAAATAATTTAATACACAATGATGAATTACTGTGAATGCATTTTTTACTGCTAATAGCTCAGACTTAACACACTGTGTGTGTATAACTGTGTAAGAACATTGGCCTACAGCAACAGCTCAGTTTGTCAAGTGTGTGGTGGAGTCTGGGTTTTGTAGGATAAACAGTTGTAGGCAGTTTAGCTCATTGGGAGTAAAGCACAGGGCACAGGGCAGCAGGTTTTGTGTTCATTATTGCTCTGCACGCTCTGGCTGAGATGTTGGAAGACA